GCATAAACTGGAACCTAATAATTCTTAGAATCTAACAGTATTGGGACCCCAACAGCTCAAATCCATCACTTTTTCCATAGATTTTTCGCTTCTCTTCATCTTCCCAACAACAGCAGTAGCAGCAGAAGAAGAAAATTTTCCAGCTGGAGGTAGAATTTGAGTCTGATAATAGGATTTGAGATTCTTCTTGGCTTGATTATGAAGTAATCTTAAAGGATAATTCCATCTGCAAACTCCTTGATCTTTCAGTGCCTCAACTGCTCCAATGCTTGCTGCCACAATCCATGCTTTTCTTGCTGCACTCATTTTTTTGATGTACAGGCACAGATATAGATAGATCAAACTCAGTAAAATCAAGAATTTTTATGGGAATTTTTCTGTGTATTTGTTGGAGTGAAAATCCTGATTCCGTGTGTAATATATATAGGGAGGGATTAGGGAAAAACCAAATCTGTGTGTGGACAAAAACATGGGTGGAGAAAACTAGAAGCGGGTTTACCCATGTTTTAGGAACAGTCCACAGTTTTTCAATATAAAAAGCAGTAAAATTCAACTGATTTTAAGTCATTTTCTGTGTGTAGAACCCACGGATTTTGGATGTTTCAAGGAAAGATTGATTAAGAAGGGCTATAAAAAATTATTATTATTATTATTTTTTTTTCCTTTTTAACATCTTGTTACCGACTTTGAAAAATAGCACCTAAACATAAATCGAGAGAAATTGCATCAATGAAAAATTAGCACCAGTACAAAAAAATTCACTATCAACTCCAAACATAGAAAGGAGGATATTTTGTTGAAACTTGAAGATTTCGAATGCCGATGAGTTGCAATTTTTAAGATAGATAGTTGATGCGGTACATAAAGAAGATTTTATGGAAAGCAGGATATGCGTAAATATAAATAATTTTTGGAATGTCCATTTTGGGAGAAGTTTGAATCAATTTTGAGTGCAAAAAGCCCTGACGAGTGGAAATCCCTTGCTGAGTGAAAAATGACCAATAGTTTTCCCGACGTACAATATTTTCAATCAAATTTCATCGTTTAGACCTCAAAAAAAGCATTTTTTT